GTGAGAGAGAACAACCGATTTGCTGATACATTGGCAACCCTGGCCTCCTTGATAGCTATACTAGTTGGGATTAAGATGCACCCAATCCTGATAGAATAAATATATACGCCCGCATATGAAATGGTAACTGCAATAGAAGAGGTTCAAGATAAAAACCCCTAGACCTTTGATATTTGGAACTTTTTGAAAAGTAGAACATACCTATAAGGGGCAAATGCCAAGGACAAAAGGGGAATACAGCGTCTGGCTGCTCAATTCATTATCTACGAAGATAAGCTATACAGAAGGGGACATCTAAGAATGCACAAGCTATGTGTAGAGAAAGTAGAGGCAAAGGGTATCATGGAATCCATCTATGGAGAAGAGTGTGGAGCCCATAAGAGCGGTATAATGTTGGCAAGAAAGATTTTTAGACAAGGATACTATTGGTTAACCATGGAGGGCGATTGTATTAACTTTGTTAGTAGATGCCACAAATGTCAAATCCACGCCAATCATATGAATATCCCGCTATCAAAACTCTATAACATTACTTCACCTTGGCCTTTCTCAGTCTAGGACATAGATGTCATTGGGGCAGTCACATCGAAGGGTTCACATGGGCATTAGTTTATCGTAGTTGCTATTGATTATTTTACCAAATAGGTTAAAGCACAATCGTTTTCAATGTTAAAAGCATCACTTGTGGCCAAATTCATCAGGAATAATATCATCTGCAGATACAGGGTGCCAAATGAGGTAATCTCAAACAATGGCTCACACTTCAGAAGAGAAATGGTAGTGTTACTTGAGAAATACATTGTGGCTTTTCACAAGTCATCAACATACAGGCCACAAACCAATAAAGTCATTGAAGCTACAAATAAGAACATTAAGACCATTCTACGTAAAACGGTGAAAACTTGCAGCGATAGGCCAAACAAATTGCCTTTTGCACTTTGGGGATACATGACATCAATCCGAACGTCTATAGGGGCAACCCCTTACTTTTTAGTATATGGAATGGAAGTTGTTTTGCCGATTGAGATAGAAGTGCCTTCGTTAAGAATTATGGCTGAATGTCAGATAGCAGAAGCTGATTGGCAACAGAACCGATTTGAGGAGCTGATGTTGTTTGTTGAGCAAAGATTGAAGGCGTTATACCACGTTCAGGGGTATCAACACAAGATTGCTTGAGCATTCAACAAATTAATAGTCAAAAGGTCTTTGAGGGAAGGAAACTTGGAATTTGGTTACATGATTAACCTTTACTCACCTAGTATATAGTTTGATGTTAAAACTATGTTGTTCACTTTTTAAATTGGCAATAAATTTTATGTCATTTTGAGGTTTAGAACTTAGAAGTTACAAATAGACAATTTGTAGTGTATACCTTCAAAACGAAAGTTGCAAATCATTCAGTGTGTTTGGTTTTAATTTTTTGAATTTAATTTTCTAAAAATTGAGTTTTTTATTTTTCATATATATATATTTTCTGTTTTTAGTGAATATTTTTAAAATTTTAAATATTTTTTAAAATTTTTTTAGACCTTACTTAGATGTATCTAACTAGTAAAATGTCTGAAAAATATTTTAAAACATTAATAAATACACAAAATATGAAAAATATACTGAAATTCGTATTTTTAAAAAATATATTTTTGATATTTAGTGAATTTTATGAAGATTTTTTTGCACAAATATTGTACTTTGTAAGTGTATTTATGTTAGGTGTGTCTACAAAATTAAAAAAAATTGCTTAAAATATTAAAAAAATTAGTGAAAATAAAAAAATATAAAAAATGAAAAAGTAAAATTTTTTAAAAAGTGAATTTTAAAAATTGAAACCAAACAGAATTATAATTATGAACGCTGTGCTGTGAACATTATGAATCATTTGCAGTGAGAAATATCACGAATCATTTTAGCAGAAAAAATTACGATATGTAGGGTTTGTTATGAAATGTTGTGATTATATTATGTTTGTTATGATAGGTTGCATACGCTATGTTCCTTTCAAGCATAAACATCATCAATGGCGGAGTTAGAAAATTAAGTTAGATAAAGCACTTATTAATTATAATTTTTTATTTTAAAAAAAAAATCATGATCAATATTAAGATAATAATAATTTTATGAGCTAAATTTAAGTATACGAAATTAAAAATCATTATTAACAAGAACAAATCAAAATTTTATAATAGTGTATAATAGCTCGATACGGGATGGTAATGTAAATTTATAATTTTAGCACAAAAAATTATGGATCAAAATTCTTAATTTTAAAAAATAAAAACACATCATTTATAACATAAATTATTATAAAATCTATTTAATTTTTATTTGACAGAAAATATTAAAGAGATGATAGTGCTTATAAATGATGGGGGTGTTTGGGAAGTAGCTTTTTTTTTTTGGGTTAAAATAGCATTAAAAGACAAAATAGGCTAAAATAGTCAATAAGACAAAATGTCACATCAAACTCATAATCATTTTACTTTTTCTCTCACAAATATCACATCCAACTACGAAAAAAATCTAATCATCTTCCTAAATACAAAAATTTTAATCTATTAAAATAGCTAAAAACTAAAATGGCCTACTAAAATAATTACTTCCCAAACACCCACTACGTGATAGAGAGAGCAGTTTGCTGGAGCAAAGGGATTCCATTTCCAATGTCATATGTTGGGGCTATTTGGTGTAATTTATAGAGGCTGTTTATAAATTTTATTTTATTAATTTTATTGTTGGAGTTTGTGTAAGAGAATTTAGTGCAATTTCTGCTTAAGGTTTATAAGGTAGAAATAATTTAGCTAAGCAAAATTATTTGAAAGTTAGAGAAGTAGTGCTTTTGGGGCTATTTGGTATAGCTTATGAAGCTATTTATAATTTATTTTATTTTAGAAATCTGTGTTAAATATTTGGTGCATCATCTAACGGGGTAGGGGCAAACTTTTGCATGAGCGGGTCGAAAGGGCGCTGTTCCTCATTATAAAAAAATGGTAAATTACTCTAACCGGGTTAAGATTTAAAGAAAATGCAATTAGAGTCTTACAAGTTTGATATAATTACTATGCTTTTCTAGTGTTTAGATTCCATAACATTTTGCAGCCTTACCATCACTCATACTTTTTAGTAATATGAATAAAAAATAATATTCACTGTGTTTGGTTTGAGTTTTCTGAATTAAGTTTTTTGAAAATTGAATTTTTTGATTTTCGTATTTTTTTATTTTTAGTGAATATTTTTTAAATTTTAAACATTTTTTTTTTACTTTTTTAGATGCACCTTATTTAGATGTGTCTAAAAAATAAAAAAATTGTGAAAAAATATTTTAAAAAATTAAGAAATACATAAAAATACAAAAATGTACTAAATTCTTGTAATTTTTTTTTATATTTGTGGTATTTAGTGAATTTTTAAAAGATTTTTTTTGCAATTTTTTTAACTTTTTAGGTGTATTTATGTTAAGTGTGTCTAAAAAGTAAAAAATTTGCATAAAATATTTAAAAAATTCAGTAAAAATAAAAAAACACGGAAAATAAGAGTGTAGAATTTTCTGAAAACTGTTTTTAAAAAATGGGAACCAATACCATTTTTTTTATGTGCACATTTTACTTTTGATTATGGATATGTTCATATATATGGTATGTGTATTTGTATCTCCAAAACAATCATGCATTTTGTGTATCCAAAGTATACCGTAAAGTATATATTTTATTTAGACTTTTCTTAAGTGTGCAACTTACACCTTACACTTACGCCTTTCTGTTTGCTGTCCTGTTTTATGTTTACACCTTCCATTTACACCTTTTGTGTTGGTTGCATATGGGTTGCACACCATAACAGTACCCATTTTATTTTGGGGTCCAGCTTGTCTCCAATTGGAGATCAAGACTGGACCGTCTAGTTCAGCCTGTGGGGCTTATTTTTGGGTCCTTTTTTGGATAATATGAACTATTCAATATATAAACTGTTCAATATGTAGAACTCGTCGAATACTATATTTTTGTAAAAAATCACATTGATCGGATATCGATAGCTATTTGATTAGATCAAATTTCTGTCAATCGTTTATTTTTTTATCGTTTATTTTTTTTATTATACAAAACTGATTCGATCAAATAACTATCGATATCCGATCAACGTGATTTTTTTTAGGAATATAGTACTTGATGAGTTCTACACATTCAGCGGTTCAGGGGTTAAAATTTTTAAAAGGGGGCCAAAAAAGGGGCCCAAAAAGCCGCACTAGACGGTCCAATCTTAA